TGTAGTTCCTCCCCATCCCAGTCTATCCTCCAATCAACTGCCAAAATGATCTTCTAAAAGTAATTATCTGACCCAGTCAAATATAAAAATCCTCTCTTTGGCTTTTAAAGCCATACACAACCTGAGCCCTTCTGCAGTCTTCTAACACGTTACTACCCTCCACCTACTTTACAGTTCAGCAACAGTGGCCTTGCTATTCCCCACATATAACATCTCCCTACTTCTTGCCTTTTCACTGCCTCTCCCACATACCTGGAATGCTCTCCCTGCTCACCTCCACCTGCTGGTTTCCCCCAACCTCTTTCAAGTCTCAAATCCGATTTCCTGCAAAAGACCTTTCCAGTCTTTCCCCCATCTCCCTCTCTATGTCTAGACAGAACATTACTTCCTCTTTACAAATAAATATTTATTTGTACAAAGTGTTTTCCTTGTTGTCTTTCCCAATAGAATGAGAGCTCCTTGAGAGCAGGAACCTCTTTCTTTGTATCCCTAGTACTTAACACAATGCCTGGCACTTAGAAAGTGCTTAATAAATGCCTATTGATTGACAATTGACTGACTGATCTATCTTTAACCCCCAACATGGTAGTATTGAAAATCAAAAGATATTGTGTAAAGTCAAAAGAAAAAATAAAAGACAAAAATGTTCTCAATCTGCCTGTCATTCATTAGCTATTACTATTATTGACATATTCTTTCCTTATAGCCTTTTCAAATTCCAGTCAATGCATGAGAGCAGAGCTAGAGCTCCTAGATTGGCTCTTTCCATCCAAATATTCCAATTAAAACTTTTTATAAGCTTTTCATGTGCATGTGCTCATCAATATTCATAAAGGTGAGGTCATCATACCTTTAAGCATCTAATTACCCAAAATGAATTGTTCAGTTAACATCTTTAAAGACCTGGGTATTCTGTCTTTGTGGCAAACCCTTGCTGATAGAGAAATTAACACCAACTTTGAACATGGATTTATTTCTTACCCTTTAAGAACCACTCTTGAAATAAATGTATGAACTTCTCATCATCAAATTAGTCAGTTCAAGGTGAAACTATTGGTCCATTTAATTAAGTAGGAGACTTCATGCTAGCTCAACTTTTCATTTGTGCTCAAGAGGAAAAAAAAAACCCTCATGTAACAGATTGGGAGTAGGATGATCTGGATAATTTGAATCCTAGCTCTGTGTGACCTTGGGTAAGTTATATCACACCTCAGTTTCCTCATCTGTAAAGTGAGGGGCTTGGACAATGTTCTCTACGTTCTTTTTCATCTCTAAATCCTATGGCCCTATATGTGATCAAATCTTCACCAATAACATTCACTCAAGGGTAGAACCTATTTCTACCCTGTAACAGGTAGATGTGACACATCTACTTGTTCAAAAACTAGAAACAAAATGGATCCCTTTCAGTTGTGGAATAACTAAACAAATTATGAAATACAAATATAATAGTGTATTATTGGTCCCTAAGAAATAATGAATATGAGGAATTCGGAGAAATATCAGAAGATATGCAATGACTACATTGAGCTAAACAATAGCAACAGTAAATAGCAGTAGAACTGCAATAAACTATTGTATACGGTGTGAGTTTTGGAGAGCTGATAATGAAACATACCTCCTTAGCAATTCTGGATAAAACAAGCCAGACACTTTAAAATCCTTTTACTTGACAAATTCCATTCCATTAAAAGTACAGTCATTGTTCAGAGAGAAGTAGGGGACTCTGGATATGAACTAGGTTTTATGCAGTCAGATCTGATCAGCATTTAGGCTATCTTTGCTTATATATTTTTGTGTCATAAAAAAGAAAACTATGACGGGGGAAGGGGAGGAAAGGAAGGTAAGAGAAAGAGATGTCTATGCAAAAACAAAAGACTTTTAAAGAGTAACCTACCTAGACCTAGATAATCAGCTCTTCCCACAATCTGTGATTCATATGGAAAAGTAATTAAAGGTAGAATAATTACATTAGCCTCATTTACTGTTTGGTGCCAAGAGTAAGGAAAAAAATAAACTGTTAATAACTGATCCTGTCATGCAATGGCATACCTTTAGCTAAGTACCCCTAGCACTTCTGAACAACTTCAATTCACACAGAAAGAGATGGTCTATAACCCAATGATGAGTCACATCTCACAGATCTATGGCAAAAAAAAAACTTCTCTGGTTCTCAGGCGCTGATAGGATTCCACTTTTTATAATATCACATAGATGTTCAGGGAGTAGCTACTGTGCACTGTGGCATGTGAAAGCTCCTATCTACTCACCCACAGAAAGACTCAAGCCACAAGGCCTAGCAGGGAAGTGTCATTACTCTGTAGGACAAAATATGGGATTCCAGTGCAACATAGCTTCAAAAGGGACCACATTTCAATGGAAAATTCGTTCCAAATCCAAGCCTAGAGACCTTGATGTTGAATGGGACCCCAACAGCATAAATATTGGAAAGAACAGACGGGTTGTTGGTTCCAAGTCGGAATGCAATCAGGCCTTTAAAAAGCATAACATTTATGACAAGAAGGAAGCTTAGAGTCTAACCCAACACCCTCATTTTATAGTAGTAGATATGGAATCTGGACCCTCTCATAAGGATCAGCAAACCAGTCAAAATTGGATCTCTTGACTTTTCTCCTTACAAACCCACAGTTTGTTCGCCTGTACTTTGCTAGGATTACTAACATTTCAAAAAGGCATTTTAGTAAACAAATAATGATATACTACAATGAACACTCAACTTGGAGTCAGTGGATCTAGGTTTGAATCCTAGCCCTGATACTTCCACACTTCAATGTGGCCCTAGACAAATTACATAATCTGTATGAACTTCAGTTTCCTCATCTATAAAGTAGAAATGTGAGGGAGCATAACACACTGGTTAGAGAGTTAACGTAGTCGAAAGAGAGGAGAAGAGCTAGCTGTATTGGAGTCCTATCTCTGCCACATACTGGCTGTGTGACTTGTCAAATCACTTAACCTCTCAGTGCCCCAGACAAATCTGACATAAATTGTAGAATACAGTTATCCTTTTCACCTTGCAACTTTCCCCATTGTGGTTTCGATATATCTCAGGTTGGCATAAGATATTGAATGGGAATTTTGGGGGGAGTTTTGCAGAAGCCACAGATGACACACAAAAGTCAAGAGACAACATAGAGCCTATGACCAAATACTTAACCCAAATTTTACCATAAGGTAAACACCTCATTAAAGAAAAAGAAAACAATCAGACTTCTTCTCTGGTATGAAGCGAGAGCCAAAAAATTTTACGTGGGTTTTCCAGATCACGGGGGCACTGTGCCCCTAACCCCTGCACTGTGAAAGGGATAACTGTAGTTGCCAATATGCATTGGTAGAGGTAACTTCCTTATTAGGAGTTACCTATACTGAGGAAATCATGGGCCTGAATTCCTATGCCCTTACCTGCAAAAAAAGGAAAGGATAATTGCATTCCCTTACAGGGCAGCTCTGAGGAACATACTTATGTAATTTAAAGTACTATAAAAAAATGCAAGCTATTATTGTGTCTTCAGTTTCAAGGATCTGTAATTGTGTCTCGGTGTGCACATCTTCCCTATAACTTAGTAAACAATCTATAAGAGTTGCTGTGGCCAAAAAAAATCATTTTGTAACCACTCTAGTGATGAGCTTCTCAATGCAGCTAGGCTAAGTTAATCAATCAACCAATGTTGTTCAGTTGTTTTTCAGTCATGTCTGACTCTTTGTGACCTCATTTGGAGTTTTCTTGGCAAAGATACTGAAGTAGTTTGACATTTCCTTCTCCGGCTCATTTTATACATGAGCAAAGTGAGGCGAACAGGGTTAAGTGACCTGCTCAGGGTTATGTAGCTAGTAAGTGTCTGAGATTATATTTGAACTCAGGTCTCCCTGACTCCAGGCCCAGTGGTCTATACACTGCATCACCTAGCTGCCTTGTCAATCAACTAATGAACAAGCAATAATTAAGCGTCCATTATGTACCAAGCTCTGTGCTGGGTGACGGGTGTACAAAGACAGAAATGAAATAATGCCTGCTCCTAAAGAGCTTACATTTTTTTCCAGGGAAACAATATATATATATATATACAAAGATACATACAAAACATGTACAGAATAAATACAAGGTAATATGGGGAGGGAAAAGCCAGGGGACTTGGGGTGGGGGGAAGGAGACAAAAAGACTCTATGTAAAAGTTTGTACTTGAGCTGAGCTTTGAAGAAAACAGGGACTTACAAAAAGCAAAGATGAACATTCTAGACACAGGTGGACAGCCTGTATAAAGACACTAAGATGGGGGGTTGAGCGTCATATGTAAGCAATTGCAAAAAAAAATAATTAGTTTTGCTGGACCATAAAGAAATGATGCATAAAAAGGCTTGGAGGATAGATTGTAGCCAGTCTGCTAAGAATTTCAAAAGCTATGCAAAGAAATTTATAAATGATAAAATTTGATTCTAAAGGCAGTAGGGATACACTACAGGTTTTCTGAGCAGGAGAGTAACCTGTTTAGATGTGCTTTAAGAAAAATATGTTGGAAGCTGTGTGGCAGATGAATTGGTCAGTGGAGATACTTAAGTTGAGACAGGTCCCTGGATAAAAGATGTACAATCTATCATTGGACTTATATTTGAAGATTTTCCAGCTTTGTAGAAAATTCCTAATTTTGTACGCTGCTGCCATAGCCTTCTAGAACTCAGGAGCCCTGCCACACCATGAGGAGGCAGAGGAGGAAAAGGATTTTAGTGGAGGGAGCTATCTTCATGATGTATTGATTTGGTACCCTCCTAAACAAAAAGAGTAAATATAAAGGAGATGTCTCTTTTTGCCCAACCAACAGCTAGGATATAGTTAAAACCCCAATGAAGAAAGTAGCTATCAATCTAAAAACAGATAACCAGGTTATTAGAATCATCACCACAGGTACAATATATCAACTGTTGATGGGTCTTAGCTATGAAAATCTGGCTATGGGAGACCAAGCAAACAACTTATCACTCACTAAAGTTGTGGGCAACTTTGTAGTCTAAAAGAAGGTGTTGGTTCCCTAAGAAATCATTGTTCAACATCACAGGGGTATTCAGAGCTCGGAACTGGTCGTAGAGTCTTGTCACATCAATTTTTCTCTTCTGGAGGTCACATGTTGACCAGATGGATTTTAGAATCTGAAAAACATGAAGAAAGGAAAGAAGGAAACTGAAATCTGCACACAGTGACATTACCAGAAATATGTTCTGACTTCAGATTTTCATTCTCAGAAAGGGCAGCTCTGTCTTCCAAATTCACCAAGCCATTCCAACTTGTGTTTTAATGAATCCTTGAATAGTGACAGAAGAGGCATTCAGACCTAAATAACTGGGGCACAGTGGTTTCCCAAGGGTCTCTAGAACTAAATTCACTAGTAGAAAAGTGGTTGGAGGTCAGGTCAGAATTTCTCCAGGTTCTCTCCATGCATATCCTGATCCAAAGGCACAGAAAAGAGAGATTGACTGGAAACAGATGTGAGAGAGCCTGAGGCAAAGTCTGTCAGAAGGAATGGTAGACCCCAGTTCAAATGTCTGAGATGACTTATTTAAAAAGATATTCCAGCCCAAAGCAGTTTCGTTTTTGTTTTTTTGTGATAGATTCTCATCTGTCTCTGAGACACGTGGTACATTTTAGTTTTGAACACAAAACATTTCCCTTGAAAAATCTCACCCTTTTTTTCAATCATATTTCAGAAAATCTTTGAGCTAGGAGGGACCTCAGAAGTCATCTAGCTCAACCCTTATATGAATAAGAATTCCCTCTACTGTGTTCCTGACCAGTGATCATCCAGCCTTTGCTTCAAAACCTCTAGTGAAGGGGAAGTCCCTATCTCCCATGGCAGTCATTCTGATTTGGGACAGCTCTAATATTTTTTTTTTAATTTACATTGAACCAAAATCTTCCTTCTAGTGACTTCTGATATATCAGCAGCCCCAATAAAAAGAGCAGCCATCAGTTTAATAAGTAAATCATTAGATTAACAGAAATAATAAAAAGATTCAGCACCTCTGAGCACTGGATTTTATACAAAATAGAACTCCCCTCGTGAACTTTGATTCTACTGCTTTATTTACTTAGCAAATCTGTGTCAGCTCTGAATCAACCTAATGCTATACAATAATTCGTCAGCACCTCCTCAATCAATGAATAAAAGTGATAACAGGACATTTTTCTCAAAGATTTAAAGTAAACTGGAAAAAGGATCTCTGTCCACTACACCTTTTCTTTATTTCCACAGTATAACCCTTGGGTTAAATTAAGGAAGGGGAAAGACTTACCTTGTCATGAGGAACAATATCCCAGTGAAAGGCTTTTGTTCTTTCAGTGGCTGGAATGGGGTTAACAGCTGGAAGGCTGGCAGAGAGCAGTGGGCCTCCCTGAACTAAGGGGATGCAAGGTTGGGGTACACCTGCAGTGCCCTGTCCCATTGAAATTCTCCTTTGGGATCCTGACATACAACTGGAGGTTGGAACCATACTCAGTGAAGTTGTGGAAGAACCTGTAGCCAGCAAAGACAATGATTCTTTTTCCTTTCCTCCTGGAAGTATGTCAGGACCATCTTTACTGATCTCACGTTTGGAGGTTAGGCTAATCTCTGCACATGAACTTCCATCTTGAAATTCAGCCTGATGGTCTGGATAAGTCAGAAAGGGTGCGCAGTATTGGCTGATGAGGGTGACCCATTTGTCCCTCATCTCAGTGACATCCTTCATTTGTCTAATCAGGGCTGTAGCAGGAATTCGGAATCTAAAAATAGAAATACATGTCTATTTCTCTATCCAGTTATAGCAAATGGAGCTATGGATGTAGAGTTAGAACAAGGGGGCTGTAACAATAGAGGCTATGGCATTCACTAGATATATGGCTGTATACAAATCACTTTGTCCTTCTGAGGTTCAATTTAATAATAATTTGCTTCTTAATCTAACTCAACAGGGTTGTTGAAAGGGCCATACGAGAAAATGTCTATAAAATGTTTTGTAAACCATGAAGGATAATGTAATGTGAGCCGTCGTCGTCATCATCATCATCATCATCATCATCATCGTCACTATTATTTGTACAAAGAACATGCTGATGCCAAATAAAGAGGAACCATGATGTAATAGTTAGAGCACTTGGAGTCAGGAAGAAATGGGCTCCAATCTCACCTCAGACATTTAGTAAGCTGTGTGACATTGCGCAAGTCATGTAATTTTTCTAGATGTTTTCCCATCTGGAAAATAGATTGAGAGAGGGATAGCTTAATGGCTACAGCACATAATGACCTTGTTGTATTCCCTGGGCTAACCACTTAACCTCTCTGTGCCTCAGTTTCCCCATCTGTAAAATGGAGATAACAATAGCACCTACCTCCCTGTATTATGCTGAGAACAAATGAATTGACATGTATAAAATACTTTGCAAACTTTAAATTACTATGTAACTGCTAGCTATCATTGTCATTACTGTTAGTATTGTTTTTATTGTTATTATTATTATTATTATTATCATTGTTATTATTAGGAGGAGGAAGAGGAACTCAGTGACCTATAAAATCCTCTCCAGCTCTCTGTATATGGCCATTACATGTGCGCATGTATCATTGAATCTCTTTATAACAATAAGGGAGGAGGGAAAAAAAAAGTTCTTCCACAGTAGATTTTCATTCTCTGTCTTTCCTCCTACCCCCTTCCAGTTTCCATAAGCTTCTAGAAAATCCCAGGGCCTAATCAGGCTATCGATCATGTCACTCCCCTGCTCCAAAGCCTTTGATTGCTTCCTTGTCTTCCAGAATAAAATACAAACCTCTCGGCTTGACATTTAAAGTCCTTCCCAATCTGGCTCCTGTCTACCTTTCCAGGCTTATCACACATTATTTGCCTTTATGTCCTTCCCCTTCTGGCTAAACCAACCTATTTGTGCTTTCTGAACCAGGCATTCCATCTTTCTCCTCCATGCCTATGCACAAGCCGGCCTCTATGCCTAGAAGGTTCTCCCTTCTCACTTCTGCCTTAGAATTCTCAGTTCCTGAGGCTAGGCTCAGGCACCTCCTCCAGGGGAAGGCTTTAGGTATTAGCACTCTCTTTCTCCATCTCCAATTAACCACATATGTCCTTATCTTTTAGATGTTGTCTCCCCTAGTAAAATATAGGGAATTGAGGGCAAGAATTGTTTCATTTTTGTCTTTTTACTCCCAGAGTCTACCACAGTGCCTGGCACATAGTAGGTGCTTGATAAATGCCGGCCAGATCAGTCACATAACTTACTAAATGTCTGAGGCACTTTTATCAGGGCCAACAGAACACAAGGAAATCAAGAACTCATTAAACATTTGTTAACCAACCTCCTACTGTGTTCATAGCCCCCTGCTAGATGCGAAGGAAGAGACAAGGTTTATTAAGACACTTTTCTCATAGCATGTACTGTCTAGCACATAGTCGCAGAAAATTATTATATAAAATGGCATTTAAGTACAAAGAGGTACAAAAAATTGGGTGGGGTATAAAAGAAAAAAGAAATTAATGACCCAGAGAGAAGGCTTCCTGGAAAGTGGTGAATTTGAGCTAGGCCTTAAAAAAGAAAAAGAAATAATCCAGAAAGCAAGGAAAGTATGACTTTATCAAGTCATAAAGGGGAAAAGCACTGACTCTGGAGTGAGAGGATCTGAGTTCAAAGCCTGCCTCTCACACTTATTCCCTGAAAAACTTTAAGAAAGTCATTTAACTTCGATTTTCTCATCCGTAAAATAAGAGGGCTGAGTTAGATGTCATCTCAATTTCTTTCCAGTTCTAGATCTATGATTCTATATCTCTAAGTACAAGAGGAAAAGAGGAAATAGACACAGGAGAGAAAGGATAACTACCAAGTAACTGTTTTTTTCAGTCTAGACTCCTTTTCTCCTTCCCTATGTCTATGTCCCCAACAAGGCTTAGCATATGTGGGTTATGGGCTTAATGACATGTGAAAGGAATAGAAGTCTAGCTGGACATCAGAAACAAGTGAGGAGAAAGAAAGGGCCATGAGAAATTGAAGACCTGACAAAGGAAGAAAATGAGGAAGAAGACCACTTCATAGTAAGAAGGTCAAATTATCCATCTGGGATCCAAAGCACCCTGGTTCACATTTTTAGCTAATTTTGGATCCATTAGTTTGCATCAAGTTTGGTGGATGCTTTGATGTATCAAGCATCTTAAGACATTTTCTCAATGTGTACTCCACCTCCGCTGCCTCAATGAAGCAATCCACTACATTTGGAAGATATGTGAAGATAAATCCTTATACAATGCAATGGTATAAATAACATCGTGATTAGCTTTGCCAAAGATAATTCTAATTTAAACAGAGTTGTTGGACAGCCTAACTTGTCAAAGGAGAATAGCACAGGCTGCTCTGACCTTTTCAAACAAAGTTAATTGCTTAGGTTTTTAAGGTTATGGAGTTGAAATTTTGCCATATATTGATTCAGTGGTGTAAATTTTTCTCATCATTCCTCCTTTCCCTTGGGGGGAGGCAAGAAAGTTTTCTGATACTTTCCCCTTACCAAGACAATGGCAGAAACAGTCAGAAATCCTTGAGTTTGGGTCAATTTCATTAGCTACACAATTTTGCTTCTAAGGTAGAGATCAACTTGATGTATCTTGTCCCTCAGTTGCCCCCAATCAGTTTAAGGCATTTTTATTTTATCGACTTTTTAGAGCTGTATGCTAAATGAAAGCTGATCTAGTCCGATCACATCATTTTACAGATGGGAAAACTGAGGGCCAGACAAGTTAAGTGACTTGCCCAAGATCACTCAAGAAGCTAGTGGCATATTCAGGATTTGAACCCAGGTTTTCGGCTTCCAAATCTGGTACTCTTTCATCATACAGCCTCCTTTATACTTCAATGTTTCAAGGATCCTTGAGTTCATTATGGTGGGTTTTCCTTCTACCAATGCAGACCACAGCCCTTCTATCTCTTTAATAGGTGGGCTTCATGAGTAACTTTGTCCAAAAACTATTTCTCACCAGAAGATGAGGATTCTCCTTGAACTTAGATAGACAGGGCCTCAGATAAGAAACACACAGCCCCATGGTCACCTTTCAATGATGCAGTGGCATTGGAGTAAAACAAGTTCAGGATAGAGTTTTAAACCTGTTAAAAATGACTATAAATAAAATAACTGTGGATATATAGAAAGGACTCTTCAGTTATTTTAATATTGATATGCCTTAAAATAAAATAGATGTCTCTACTCACAAATAATTGTTTTTTTTAGTCTGGACTGAAAATTCATCATGTTCATTTTCTTTATGGACTCTCACATCCGACAATTGTACTTGGTTTGCCTCCAGATTAGTTTTCTCATTCTCTTCGTTGAAGCCAAGAGGATACAGGGTCAGATGTCTTTTATGGAGCTGTACCAAGCACCTGAGATGAGAAAAGAAATAGCTGAGGAGAAAAGTGTATTTTTTTTTCTTTCCACATATTACTTCTTCCACCTCTGATGATTCTCACTCTCCCAGGATGCTTCCAGGAGCTGCTCAATGGATATTGCCAAAGAGACCAGGTCAAAGTTATCAGAAGAGCCAGTTTTCTCACTGTGGGACTGGTGAAACACATTGCAAAAATAAAGCACTTGTTCAGGGGTAACTGAGGACTTTTGTCAGTATCTCTTGGATAATAACCAAATTCTCTGCTTGACCGATGGACACTTAATCTCAGAGCATCACTCAAAAGTGGTGGTTGCTTGTTGAGTGGCCAAATCTATATCTGAATACCCTTCTAATAAAGACTTTCACCACTTAACAATGTCTGTAAGTAATTCCACATACAAACATAGGTGCATCTGTGCATCTGTCAGAAGATGAAGGGCATGACTTCACTCTACAGGTGTTAATTATATATAGAACACTTTACAAATCCAAGAGAACCCTGAGGCACAGGATGTGGCTAACAACTGACTGGCATCCACCCACTTAGCACCAACCCTCCTTTAAAGTCTTTCCTACTCTCTCCCATGCCATACAACGTCCCCTACATTACTTGAATTGTCAGTACCTCCCCCAACAGAGAACATAAAACCTGGAAGAAATTAAAACAGACCCTCCTTTGGAAATGGTCCCCAACTCTGACTTTAGTCAATTATATTAATTTAAGACTAAGAATTTATTCCCTCTACCCACCATGAGTCTTTTGTTCCAGCTAGGGAAATAGGTGCAGAGCAGCTATACAAAGACTATGATATTCTAATTTGAAAGAAAATTTTGCAGGCATACACTTCACAGAAAGTTATATCAAAGCATTTCCTCTATGGATTTTAATGGCAGCTAGAATGCAACCTTTGTTCCGTGGGCATAAAAGATATCATCCAGAAAACGTATGATTCAAAAGGAAAATGTATTGGTCCTGGAGCTAGAGAGAGGGATGACAGATGGAAAGCCCAAGTGTTTTGCTGCTATCCAAAGAATATTAAGAGGATTTAGAGAAGACTTCCATGGCATTGAGTAGCTACATGATGGAGGATTTCAGGGAGGACAGAGACAGGAATTACACATGTTAAGAAGGCATGGACGGGTTGCAATCTGCACCATAGAAGGGAATACTTACATGGATAGGATCACAGATACATTGATGTACTGGAATACAATACAATCTAACCCAATGAATTGACAGGTGGCAGGATAATGCTAATTGTTCATTTTCATAGTTGATCAAAATATACTTAAAATATTTAGAGTGTACTTAGAATGTTAACACGTAAGCTTCTTGCATGCAGAGATTATTTCATTCATTAGTATTTGTATCCCCAGAACAATGCCTGGCAGAGAATTGGTACTTAAATATTTGTCAACTGATTGATTGAGTGAGTTAAGATTTCAACTTATTCTCATACTGCACTGTGTTCCTAACTAGCTGCTGTTGTGGCCAGTTTTTTTATAAGGGTAGTTCAAGAGTACATTGGACCATTGGCTTATTATAGACAACAATATAGTATTTACATTGGGAAGGGAGGAAGTTCAAAACTTTTTTTCAAAGCCATCACCTTCACCTAAGAAATGAGCAGTTTGGGGCAACATGAGCAACTGCAAAGTGAATTATCGTGGCTTCGTGGTGTAAAAGCAAAAATAAAGAAGGGAAGCAAGAAGCCCTGAGTCGAAATCCAGTTCTCACCCTTCCACCTGGTGAGTCACTTAATTCAATTCATTGAGGGCTTGCCACGTGATGATGGGAACTACACTATACTCTGGGTATGCAGAAATCAAAAGAAAGAAACAGTAAAGCTTTGGGGAGATTACATTCTACTGGATAACAAAATATTAAATTCAAATTAAAACAAATCCAGGGTTTCATCACATACCCTGCAAATTGACAATGATGACCAAAAAAAGGTAAAAAAAAAAAAAGATGAAACTGCTCTAAGCCTAAATTCTCTCACATGTTATAGTTTGTCCTTTGTTTTCAAAGATGACCATGACATCAAGAAGATGATGCCATGACTTGCAAGTGAATTGGGTTTAAGTGAGGGAGGGCTGTGCAAAGTTTCTCATATGTAAAATGGAAAGGAAAGAAATAAGCATTTATTAATATTTATTAGCCAAGCATTGTGCTAAGCACTTTACAATTATTATTTCATTTGATCCTCACAACAACCCCATGAAATAGGTTCTATTATTATCCCCATTATACAGTTGAAGAAATTGAGATAGACAGAGGTTAAGTGACTTGCCTAGCATCACACAGCTAATTAAGTATCTTAAGCTGGATTTTAACTCAAGCCTTCCAGACTCCAGGCGCAGCACTCTATCCACTGTGTAACCTAGCTGAGGTTAGATAATAAAACTTACACTACCTATGATGGTTATGGGGGAAATAGTTTATAAACCTTAAAGTTCAGTGGGAATATGATTGATACTATCATTATTTTTAAATGGGACATTACAATTACATTAGTATGTCAGACTATTTTTTTCTATGGCTGAAACTAGCCCTTAATATGGGTTCAAGAGTGGCTCAAACATTGGAACATTTCCCTATTCACTCAACTTGCTTTAGGCCATTCCTGTAACTAGAAAGAAAAAAATATATACAATTATAGACAGGAGCTAAGTGGTAATAAAATTAATATTCAAAGTTTAATAAGAGAAAACCTCAGTGCTTTCATACTTGACCCATTTAGCAGCTTCCAGACTATTCTGCTCCAATTCCAGCAAGCCGTCATGTACAGCTCCATCCTGCTGGTCAATCTGTCCCGAAGGGGATTCCACAGATTTACACAGGATCTTATCCAGAAGGTGCATCAGCTACACATGAGCAAGAGAGGAAGGAACAAATTTTGCCAGGCTGTTTCAGGATGCAAAATTACACATTTAATAGAAAAACAATGCATTTTTATTTGCCCCCAAAGCAGGCTTCAATGAAAAGGACATGTCTGGAAGTCTAAACAGCATTGGACTTGTTGAAAGAGCCAGGAACCAACTTGCTGAGTATATGAAGGCAAGATTGTCTCTCTGTCTTGTGGTTTTAGGTGCAGACTTACAGGTGGATTATTGTCATTCAGTCATGGTTAATTTCTTACAAAAGGCCACTTGCTGTCTCTGTTTAATATCATGCAGGAATTGATATTCAGGTTAGATGAGCAATTAACTTACTGTCTCAAACTTCTATGATCTGTAAATTTGAGCTAGTATCTCCTATCAGATAAGAAATCCTATAACAGCCTTCAGTTACCTATGCAGGATTAGGATTTACAAGGACCTGGGCACTAATTAAGCGTTCAATGAGCACTGGTTAAAGAGTCAAAAGGTGGTTTGGGGAGAATGTGATATAGCTCTAAGAGTGGTGAATTTGTAAACTTGTGTTCAAATTTTAGCTTTGCCATTTACTACTTTTATGACCCTAAACAAGTCATTTAACCTCTAGAGGCCTCAGTTCCCAAATTTATAAAATAATAAGGCTCCTTCTGACTCTAAATCTAATGATGCTAAAAGTCAGGTGTATTTTATGAACATGGGGTGGGACAGATTCCTTATTAATTTGAATTATTCTTTTTTTAGATGTTTGGGCAACTGATATCTTTTGTATTTTTTTAAATTGTTTCTTTCCTTTCATTAGATTGTGAAGTTCTTGAGGTTAAGGACTCTAATTTGCACCTTTTTCTCATCCCCAGCACTTAGTACAGTGCCTAACATATAGTAGGTGCATAATAAAGGTTTATTGACTGACTGACTTCAAGAAGAGAGAGGTGGGACACCTAGTTAGTTAGTCAGCTAACTATTGGCTAAGTAAGAATGTGGATAGCAAACCAAAAGCCCACTAGTAAACAGGAAGCTTCCTGATTAGCTGAGACTGAGTTTAGGATTGTGTAATAGGAAAATGAGCTTCATCCAGAGCATTCAGGTGGGTAAAGTCTGGAATGGGGCTGTACTGCTGAGAAAGATGATATGCTCAGGTAGAATGGAAAAGAAGTCTCAGAACAGAGCAGAGGCTCTATTCGCAGTTTATATCATAATATGGAGCCTGTAAAATGTTAGCCAGAAAATAGATGGGTAAGTTTAAGTGCTATCCAGTCCATAATGAATAGTTGTTTATTCTGTCAATTACCTGCAATTTTGTTCATGATATTTCTCCATATTATTCTTTTTTCCTCTCTGAATAAACCATAGGACAGACACCCTTTGGTCTTGAAATATGAAGTGACAGGAATAAGGATTTCAATTCAATAAACACTTATTAAGTACCTCTGATATGCAGGATGCTATTAGGTTAAAAAAAATTTAAGTAATCCCTGCCCTCAAGGACCTTATGGTCTGGGGGTGGACATACTAACACAAAGAAATATAGTATAAGATAGAATGTGATAGTGATGGGAAAATCCAAGCAAACTGTTCTGAGAAATCTGAGGAGGGAGTGGGAAATACTTTCATCTGAGGTGTTCAAGGAAAGCTTTGCGAGTTAAGCCTCGAAACAAAGGAGGTACTTCATCAGATTTGATGAGTGATAGGAGGGAAAGTCTCTTCCAAGCTTGGCTAAAAGCATGAGAGAAAGCACAGAAAAGGAAGAGGGCAGAATAAGAATGAGGGCTAGACAGTGGTCCAGTTTGACTGATAGATCCTAAATGTGAAGAGGAATCATATGAGATAAGTCTGTAAAGACAGTCTAGAGACAGATCGTATAGGACCTGAAGAGCCAGGGTCAGGAGTTTAAACTGTATTCTATAGGAAATGAGCCACTGAGGAGAGGCGTGTCATAGCCAGCACAGTCAATGTGGCAAAGAGATTATTCAGGCAACAGTGTGAAGGATGGCTTCCCGAGGCAATAGATTCAAGACAGGAAGAGCAGTTAAGGAGATTCTTAGAATAACCTGGAAGTGGAGGGAAAGCACTCCTGTGGAGGATATTGTAGAAGTAAAAATGACATTTGGCAACTGCTTGGGAAAGATAAATGGATTAGAAGCAAGCACCAAGATACAGAAGCAGCAGAAGGGAGACAATAACATAGGCATGGCTATAAGCATAACCGGGGTAAGATGATCAGGGCTTAGACTTAGAGTGTTGGATTAGAAAGCATAAAATTAAATTGGTATTAGAAGCATTTGTAGTCCTTCATCAGGTAGAAACAACATAGCTTAGCATCTAGTGAGGAAAAAAAAATAGTCAGCTAAAATAAGAGGTTACCAAATAATGAGATATTCTCTCCCACTCTTCTTTTCTCACCCACATATACTCAGCTGAGAGTATGCTTCCTACTGTTTTTTTTAATGGATGTGGTTTATGGAATTTTCCCCAAGCACAAAATTTCTAGTTATAGCTCTGGGTATGACAACTCTTTGACCCCCAAAAAGCCAAAGCTGCCCAAGAACCATGAAGGTCACAAGGCTCAAAACTTCAAGTTGCGATTTTGTGGTTGTCATTCAGTCATGTTGGACAAGTTAGGATTTGGAGATAATCTGGATGAATTCTTAATCAAATTCCTTGGAGGGGGGGGGGCTGATGTGATAAAGGAAGACCACAGCCTAGAGTTTTTGCCTTCATTGTGCTGAGACAAAATGAAAGAGCAAGTTCTAACAAGTATTTTGTTTTAATTATGTGACTTTGATTGGTGTTCTAGTTGAGTTCGGGCCAAAGGTGCTACTGGGCTCTGAACATTCTCAAAACCTATTTTCTCTATCTTTAATTGAAGTATGAAAAAAATACCTTTTTCTCCATTTACCATAATGAGACTAGGCAGAAACACACCGTTTCATCTCAGGACTAAACCAATTGTTCTTCTTTGTTAACTTCCATACCCAAAGGTAACAGAACTTGAGATCAATAGACTCTGGAGTTCTAGAGTCCTGGACTTTAAAAAATTTTCCAAGATAAGAATTCCCAAGTACATGAAATAATTCATGTGATGTACTTAGCCAGAACATATTCAAAACTTACTTTCCTTTTGTCTTCTAGGGAAGTTGCCTCTAGTTCATAATCCCGGCGCCCATGAAATGCAATGTTAAACCGGGTCCCCTCTCCACTTTCCCAGTACTTGATTTGGGAAAATGGGAACTGTTTTCTGATGATACCATTCTCAATGTTAAAAATGGTTTTGGTGTTTAAATCAATCTGAAAAATAAAGCATTAGTACTGTTAGTTCCAAATCTATGCTCTTCACTCCTGTGTATATCGCTGTTATTAAAACAGTGCCCTAGCTAGATCCTGATTAAGGAGTTCCTTCTGTTAGAGTGAAAGATTAAAATCAAGGAATATAACCATTTTCATCATGGGCCTACTTGGCTGGGTTGATTTTAGTCATGATGCCCAATGGATGGAGTCAGTGCTTCCCTTATCCGTGTTTGATAAATGTGCTACCATTTTTCATTTTGAAGTGTTATTTCCTTTTTTGCAATTTGCCATGTGCCTTTTTGTCCCCTATTGAAAATATCCCATCAATAAAATCTACAGGGGATGGTAATTCTGTGTAACCTTAGGAGAATCACAAAAGCTCTCTGGGTCTTAGTTGCCTCATCTTCAAAATGGGTAGCACATAATACCGGAACTCAACTAAACAACTTTGTTATAAAAATTTTGTTTTTCTCTTTTTCAATAATAGAGGAGTGGGAAGAAAAGAAAATCTATTTTTGTTCATTGAAAAAATAAAATTTAAAATAAAATAGGAAGCAGAAGAATATAGTAGAAAAACCATTGGCTTTAGAGTCAGACAACCTGAGTTCAAATCCTCCCTCTACTCATTTAACCTCCCTCAGCCTCAGTTTCCTCATCTGTAAAACAAGGAGGTTGGACTAGATGGTCTGTGGTCACTTCTACCTCTAGGTCTACGGTCCTATGATATCTTACTTGCCTAAAACAGAAGACTAGGTTGAGCATGGAGAAAATTATACTGAAAGTCAGGAGATATGAGTTCAAATCCCTTTCTGTCATAAATAAAATTGTTACCTTAGGCAAGTGACTAGCACTCTCTGGGCCTCAGTTTCTTCATCTGTAAAATTAAGGGGATAAACAATATATCCTAAGAAGGAATCTAGTGATAGTTTCAGATATTCAGAACCAGAAGGGACTTTATGGATCACCCAGTTCAATCCCCTCATTTTAAAGAGGAAACAGCCCAAAAAGTATAGTGACTTCTCTAAGATCACAAAGGAAGTTCAATGGCAGAGTCAAGATTCAAACCCAGATGTTTTGACTCCAAATCCTCTGCCTTTTCCATTATATCACATTGACCTTTCCAGTTCTAATATTCTATAAACCTTTCAAAGTCCCTTTCAGTTTTAAGACATTATTTTATGTATACTTAGAAGATGTGAAGATGACCCCCTTTACAGAAAAGTGAATGACCAAAGACTGGGCAAGAAAGACACTGTTAATATCTTCATTCCCTCCCACACTATGGGAAACTGAAGGATGTGCTATTTATGGGTCTTCCTTTGACTTTAAATTCAGCAATACTTCAACAGAATCCAAGAAGCATATGTACTTTTACTTAGTGAATGTCGAGTAAAACTGACATTGGGGAAGAATTTGAAAATAGCCTGTATTTACATAGAAAATGGAGGAGTTTGTTATCCCATGACAACCCTATGATATAACTAGGGCATATATCATTATTCTCATTTTATGAATAAGGCAACTGATTCTCATAGAGTTGAACTGACTTCACCTCCTTGGGGACTTCAAGCGAAGGCTCGATGATCACTTCTCAGATATGTTGTAGACAATATTATTGTTCAGATGTGGGTTGGGATAGATGATACTTGAGATTCCTTCCAGCTCAGAAACTCTGAGATTCTTTGATTTGTCCACAATCACGTAGCTAAGTTTTTTATTGATGTCTTTAGGGCCTTTTTTTTTAAATAACACCATTATTTTCCCCATAGTCTTTCCCTTTCTTCCCTCTCCCAAAGAGCCATCCCACATAAGAGTCATCCCACATAACAAATAGTATTTTTTTAAGACAAATAAGAAAAGGAAAAATAATCACGATAACTGATCAATACATTGAAAAATTCTACACATATGTGCTATGTACAATACTTGTGGACCTCCCACCTCTGCACTGCTGGAAGGGGGAGGGATGGGGATGTGAGGGGAGGTATCTTCTCATATCTCTTTTTTCTAGCCCTGCTTGTTCTTCATAATTTTGCAACATTCAGTTGTGATTACTTTATGTTTTTTTCATTTACGTTATACCAGTCACTGTGTATATTTTCTTGACTCTGCTTACTTCACTCTGCATCAGTTCCTATAGATCTTTCCTTGCTTTTCTGTATTCATTGCATTCCTCATTTCTTTCATAGCACAGAAATATTTCACTACATTCATGTGCCCCAATTTGTTTAGGAATTCTTTAATCAATGAACATCTACTTTGTTTAGGACTTATTTCTAACCCAAGTCTTCCAACTCCAAATGTGGTGTTCTTTCCATTACCCCATACTGACTCATTTTAGTCTTGTTTTTGTTAGTAAGGCACTCAAGATAGTTCTATATCACACCACTGCTGAGAGAATTTTTATGCTGAGCTTTAATTAAAAGCACTGTTCTGAAGTCAAATTAATTTTCCTAGGCAATTTCTTTTTCTTTAAGTATACATTTGTGGTATGTTGTTAAATTTCTAGCCTTCTAAAAGCATGTTCTTTTTCATCATCTAATTATTAAGGGATCAATTTGAAGGGAAACTGAGACAACACAGTTCCCTCGTTAAAATAATTAGTTTACTATAAGGCCTACAGAAGACAGGAAAAAAGAGAGATGTGTAGATGAATTTCTTTCATTATGTATTTAAGCATTCAAGCTGCAGGGTATGCAGTCTAGTTTAAATTTTAGGGGAGGAAAGTAAACATTAAAAGGGCCAAAATTTTTATTAATTTATTGCTTATTTATTTAATGCTGCTGATGTGTATTGAGCTACTCATGAAGCAAAATGAATTAAAAATAGGTCCTGATTTAAAAGAACTGACAACCTCAAAATCAATTACCTACATATATCTATATATCTATATGCAAATGGGATGCTTATCTTACTATACTGTAAAAGATCCATTATTCTATCTGCATGAGCATTACTTTGGTCAACAGATAGAAACCCTCTGTGCCTTTCTAGTCATTCTGTAAATAAGCTTCTCTGCCCAATTTAGCTAACCCAGCCTTTGGAAAGTCAAAAGTCTTTCACTGGGCTGGTGCTCAGAGTCCTTCTAGCTAGAGGCAGATTGGTGTAATGGATAGAACACTGAACTTGGAGCCAGGAAGATCAAGATTCAAATCCTCCCTTAGAAATTGGCTGTGTAACCTTGGGCAAACCATAGAACCTCTCTGGGCCTCAGTTTCCTCATCTTACAGATGAGGAGGTTGTACTTGATGACCTCTAAGGTTTCTTTTAGCTCTGCAATTATGATCCCATAATCCTATGCTCTTATGACCTTCCAGATCTAATTAGAAGCCATGCCTTAATTTCTCGTTTTATTCTCCTCATGAGACTGAATCTTGATCAAAGAACCAATGTTTTTGCTGAGCAGTGCTCATGTTATGTGCTTGATCTTGTCTTAGGAATCGTGTGGAATATAGAAGAAATGTCAATGAGGCAGCATGGCCAGACTAGGCCCCTTCCCCTGGGTTTAAAAGGTAGAAGGCAGGAGGCAGGGGACAAGGAGAGAAGGGATAGGCTAGTGGGGAACATCTAGACAAGCAGTTAATACGATTAAGAAATCCATAAGGTTAACCACTTAGCACCAAAGGAATCTTATCAATCTGTGTGTGCATTTTTATACAAATTTGTTAGGTTTGCCTGGGCTCTCCTTACCCCAGATTGGGTGTGTTCAAAAAAGGCTCCTGCCTCTTTTGTCTTCTTTTGACTATATAACAGTAGAAAAGTCAGCATACAAGAGCTGTAATCCTGGTAGATCTCTTGTGTTCTGGGGAATGCTACAGATCAGGGCAAAGAGGTTCCAGGTGGCTCTAGTACAGATTGGCACACGCCCTTGCTTTATCCTATTTTAACATCAATGGCATTTACCTACATAAGGTCCCTTTTGAGCATGAGCTGTGTTTCTCTTCCTCAGATCCAAACAGACGGGAACTGCCAGACTGTGCTGTCATTGCCTTCAAGGACCTTAAAGGGTCAGCTGTATAACATGAGGAGGCATAGAAACAGGACTTTTGTGGCTTGGGCTGGCTAGATCATAGGATCACAGCTTAAGAGACTGGAAGGGACCCTATAGATCATCTAGTTCAGAGGCATCAAACTCAAGGCCTGCAGGACAAATACGGCTCCAAAACTCCCAAGAGTGGCCAAAATTAGATCAAAATGTAATTGTGAAATGTTTAACAAAACATTTATTAATAAACATTTAATATCACATGGATGGTATTAATTTGTGGTTTTCAAAGCTAATATGTGGCCCACGGGGATCCATTTCTATTTGACTTTAACACCACAAATACTCTTCATATGAGGAAATCAAGGCCCAGAGGGGCTAAGTGACTCGCCCATAGTTGCACAGATAGTAAGTGGTAGGGCCAAGATTCAAACTCAGGTCCTGAAACTATAAGTTCAAGGCCCTTTCCATTGTACTGCAGCTGCCTCCAAATAAAAAATGGAATTAAATCAAAAACTAATACTTAAATTAAATGATGGTGGGGAAGGTGGGAAAAGAATGGATAGCATTCATAAGGTATTGGATTGAGTATTAGACTTAGGAAGTGGGGAAAAGAGGTTGTGAAACATAAAGCCATAGTACCTGATATCACTTAACTGCTTCCAGAGTTAGAGGATGTATATAAATAGGTAATGTGTTTATGATGCAAGGAGAATGACTACAAAACTTTCTTAGATATGCTTCTGCTGGGAAATATTGAATAAAAATTTACTCTTCTTCATTCTGTCCTCATGACAAGATAGAGAGATATACACTAGAAATAATAGCTGGATTCAGAGCTAATTAAATAGATTGAATTGAATCAAAAGAGTTGTCATCAATGGAAGAAGGTCTCTGGTGTACTGCCTCAGAAATCTGTCATTGGTTCTCTGCTTCTGGTCAAAGTTCTTGGGTGTTATTTTGTTTTTTCCACTAACTTTCATATAGACATTAGAAAAACGCTTATCAAATCTGTGGATGACATGAAGTTGGGAAGGAGAGTTAGTATAATGGATGATAGAGTTAGGGTCCAAAAAAGATCTCAGAATGTCAGAACATGTGCCTTCCTTTCTAAGATGACTTGTATCTACTCTATGTATGCCTTGTATGTGCCTAGCTATTTACTTATATCCCCCGTGAGAAGATGAGTTTCTTGGGGGCAGGGACTGTTTTTTACTTTCTCTGTATGCCTCATACTTGATGTAGTGCCAGGCATAGAGTAGGCACTTAATAAACATTTATTAACTTGACAAGGAACTAAATCTGAAGTCTTCTTCAGTTTTAAATCCATGACCTAATAAGATGAAATCTAATAGTGATTAACATAAAGTTTTACACTAAGACCCAAAATATCAATTACACAAGTTCTTCTGAACAAAGATATGGGAATTTTAGGGAACTGCAACTCCAATTTAAATCAGTGTTGTAACATGACAGTATCAAAAAGTGATATTAGGCTTAATTTAAGAGAGGCTGATGTTCTGAATGAGGAAGGTAGGGAGTGAGCTCTAAAATACTAGGCCTGACTAGACCATAGCTGGGGTATTCTGCTCCTTTCTAGGTATTTTAGAAAGAACATTAGATAATAAGAAGATGAAAGACCATGCCAAAGAAGGATTGGTTGAAGAAATAAAGAATGCCTAGACTATAGAAGAAAACTTGTGTTTGTCCTCATCAGGGAGTTGATGACATGACTTGAAATTGACTTTGATTTCAGTGAGGGAGGACAGTGCAAGGTCACCAACCTCACTTTCTTCTCCAGCAACATCTGGGTCCAGTGGTCACATATTCATCAGGAGGATAGGACGTGGTTCAGGATGCAATGGGAGACCCTGGCCCTTTTAAACTAAGGTCTCTTCAGGTTCTCACTTTGAGTGAGGCAATGCCCATTCAGTGAATAGGCCTCTTTAAGAAGTGAGTCAAGGGATGACCCCTTTAATCAAACTGGGAAGGGAAGACCCTCAGTATTACTGGCCAAAAGAGAAACCGTTACTATTTACATTCATTCTGAGCCAGGAGGGCCCAAAAAATAACTATCAAGCGGTGCTTGGGCAGGGACCTATTGTTGTCCAATCGATGAGCTCCAGAGTGAATTAGCTTTAAGGCTTGGTCTTTGAGAAAGAAATCCAGCCAGTAAACCCCAAGTTAACTAGACAGCTTTTGGCCATCCAAATTTACCCTCCTTTGGGCAGAACACCCTGAAGTAAGGGGAGAAGAGAGGAGAAGGAGAGGAGAAGAGAATGAGTTGAGTTACCCAATTGGAACTGGCCAGCTGGGTCCCCATTCAGGCAGCTCAGACTACTCACAGGTTGTGTTTGTCCTTCGTTCTCAAAGAGGACCATGACATCAGGGAGTTAATGACATGGCTTGCTCAGGAGAAAACTTAAGGAGAACATGATAGCTGTCTTCAAGAATTTAAAGAGTTGTCGTATGGAGGAGAGATTAAAACTTGCTCTGCTTGATCCTAGAGGAGAGAGCTAGAAGTAACAGGAGGAAGTTGCAGGAGGCAGCGATAGATTTAGAATAAGGAAAAGCTTCCTTATGATTGGAGCTGCCAAAGATGGAAAGGACAGCCTAAAGAAGCAGGCTCCCCTTCACCAACAATCTAGTGGACTACTTGTTGACAATATTATGGGGTGGATTCTTGGTAAGGAAAAAGTAGATCCAGGATGGCACCTGAGGTCCCCACTAGCTCTGAAATTCTTTAATGCTTCTTTTACTACTAATTTCTTTGCCAAAGAAGACAAGCAGCTGGTAGACATCAAAATCAGAGTCCATCATATGGACTGTATCACTTCATTGCTCTCAACTAATTTCTAATCATGCAGAGCACAGTCTAGGTGGAGTTCTAGAGAGAATCTCCACCTTGACAAGGTAACAAGAAGAGAATCATCAGACCTGAAAGCAATTTGTAAACTGTGAATTTTTATAGCCACAGTGATTAAATGTGACTGCTTACAAAGTACCCAGTGGATAGCACTGGGATTTGGGTTTATTGGGGTAGAATACATAGGGGATCATTTTGTATGAATTGAGAGGCAAGTGGAAAAAATGGAAAGAACACAGGTTTTCATACAGGAAGTCTACTTTTTTTAACCCTAACTCTGTTACCTTACGTTTTACTTGGCACAAGACCCATAACCTCACTGGCCCTTAGCTTTCTCATCTGTAAAATAAAGCGATAGACTATATGACTTCTAAGTCCCCTTGTGTTCCAAATCTGATTAATCATGCCATGATCTAGTACCCAAGTTGACCTCAGTCCTGATTAATCATTCAATTTCTTTCCTGAGCACCGTGTTGGTTGTGTGCCAAAATAATGCTAGGCACTGCAGGGGACGTAGATGGATAAGGCATATCCCCAAACTTAGAGAAGTTTCTGGTCTACTTGAGGAGGCAAAGTGTACAGAGGGGAAAGAACAATAATAATTTTTAAATGTTAATTGTATAATCTGTCCAAACCTATATAGCTAGCAAGGGATAGTGGAGAGAATTGCTATACTTGAAGTCAGGAGACCTGGTCTGAGATTTCAGTTCTGATAGTTATAGCTGTGTGACCATGAGCAAGTCACTGAACCTCTCTGAGTCCTACTTTCCTCATCTGCAAAATGGATACAAATGGACATGGCTCACATATGTTTATAAAGAAAATGTTTTGCACATCTTAAAGTGTCTAAGTATGGTTGTCAGTTGTTCTTAACAATAATAATCCCCACCTTCTCATTCCCTAACCACTCTAACCCACACTGATCATGCCCTTCTCTAACCTCCACCATGTTTATGGTCTATATCACATAACTTGCTTACTGATACTAACTTATATTGTTTAATTGTTTCAAGCATGCGTCTTGCCTCAACTAAGTAAGCTCCTTATACTTATTTGTTCTATATTCTTCATTGCACCTACCAGAGTATTAGACTTATGATATGAGTATTTAAAAAGTCTTTTCTGACCGATCATGAGTCTAATTTCCGTATGAAATAGTTGGTTTTGTACTACTCCATGTACTCTACCAACTTTGGAAGCTCTCTCACAAATGCTTGTCTTTGACCACTAAAGGTTGTGGAGTATGAATGATTCAGCACAACCCATTGCAACGATTGCAAAAAATAACTCAAAAGTCATCTCTAATTGGGGAGCTCATCTTCATTGATAGAATACAGTCTGTCAATTAAACCCAGCCAGGTAATATCAGTAGCTGCTGCCCCCGAACCACTGAGACTTTATGCCATTCCAATGGTGAAGAAAAAAATGTTACAATCCTAGAATTTCAGAGCTGGAAGAGATCATAGATGGCATCTACTTTAATATGTTACATGAATTGCCTCTAAAGTATCTCCCCAAAATGGCTGTCTTCTCTCTTCAGTAAGTGGGAATTTATTTATTCTGATAAGAGATAACCGGCTGGTAAAAACTTTCAAAGGGCTAATAAGTTGGAGTGACTTAACTTTAAAGCTGAGGTAAATATGACTGTGGCAGTTAGGTGTCACAGTAGATAGAGCACAGGGCCTGAAATCATGAAGACCTGCATTCATATCTGGCCCCAAACACTTACTAGTTATGTGACCCTGGGCAAGTCACTTAACCCTGTTTGCCTCAGTTTCCTCATCTGTAAAATGACTTGGAGAAGGAAATAAAAAACCATTCTAACATCTCTGTCGAGAAAACCCCAAATGGGATCATAAAGAGTGATCATGTGATTGAATCACATAATTGAAATGATTGAACAACAACAACAACAAAGACAGACTGATGAAATTTTCAGTGGGCTAACATATTTTTTTTTGTTTTTTGCTAGGCAATGGGGTTAAGTGACTTGCCCAGGGTCACACAGCTAGTAAACGTCAGGTGTCTGTGGCCGCATTTGAACTCAGGTCCTCCTGAGTCCAGGGCCAGTGCTCTATCCACTGCTGCCTAGCTGCCCCTGAGGAACTTATATTTAAGGCTGAGTTAAATATGATTATATTTGATGGTCCCAAGATGAGTATTTCCATTGAGTCCTGACCCCTTTCCCCCGGCCTTGTTTATACCATTTCCTAGCAAATATGATCAGTCACATTCTTAGCTAGTAGGGTGTGTGGAAAAGAAAAGACAGCATCTTACCTGTAAAATCCGTTTTTGCCATCTGTATCTTTTGTATTTACGGATGATGAAGTTGAACTGTGTAGCAGTCAAGAAGTCCTGGGAAGCCTGCAAGACAGTGATAGACTCAGTCCTTAGAGCCTTTCAATCTGCTGGTAGCTCCTAACTCACTGAGATCATTGTACAAAGTTAAGTGACTAGAGTACTTTTCATCTAGGGAGACCAAACTACTTTCTGGAGAACCTACAGTGCGTTCACAATTACCTGGAATTAGATAGAAGCAATAGCATTTTGTATGAAGGTCATAGGCTTATAGGCTTTCAGGTCAGAGGACCTGGATTCTAACCTTCTCTCTGCCATTTACTTTGTATGTGACCCTGGATGAATCACCTAACTTTCCCGGGGCTCAGTTCCCTCTAGAAGATTGAATGATCTCATCAGGTCCCTTCCAGAGCAGCTAGGTGGCACAGTAGATAGAGTGCCAGCCCTAGAGTCAGGATGATCCGAGTTTAAATTCAGCCTCAGACACTTACTAGCTGTGTGACTCTGGGCAAGTAACTTAGCCCTATTTGCCTCCATTTCCTCATCTATAAAATGATCTGGAGAAGGAAATGGCAAACCACTTCATTATCTTTACCAAGAAAACCCTAAAAGGGGTCACAAAGAATGAGACATGACTGAAAAATGACTCAGGAATAACAAAGGTTCTTTTCAGCTGTATATCTATGATCCTATGACTTATCTTATATAATATCCCCAGCAACAAAAGGCATATTATATCCCCTATTACCCAAGAGAATCTCAAGCTACTGAGGACAATATCAATGCTTAGCAAACAGTATGAGTTAACATTTATAATTAATAAACATCTACAAATGATTCAAAGGGTAAAAAACAGGATTTAGAAATTGGGAAGGTTTTCCTTGGAGAAGAGAAGGTAGAGTAGCTTCAAAATCATTATCTTTAAGCACTTAAGAACAGTTTCTATCTACACTATCTCTATCTCCATGAAGGGTTTTATGATAAGTATACTGCTTGGTTATAGAGAGGATTAAAAGAGAGGCTCTAGCAACAATAGTTACACTTGTACGACACTTCATCATTTTCAAGATACTTTTACAGAAATTGTCTCATTTGGATCACACTACAACTCTGTGAGAAAGGCAGGGTCAATATTATTATTATTGATGTAGAAAGACAGTAGAAAGAATTAGATTTGGAATCAGAAAACTTGGTTCCAAATCTCAGTTGCACCAATTACTACCTATGTGACTTTGGGAAAGTCACTTAACTCATCTGTAAAATGACATGGTTGAACTAGATAAAAAACTACAGTTCCTTCTACATATAAATCTAGAATTCTATTTTCCCCATTTTAAAGGTAGAGGAATTTCCATCTTTAAAGTCCCAAATTGGTGACAGGATATGAGCAAGATCACATCAAATAGTGAAACAGTAGGAATAAAACTAAAACACACCTCCATAAAAACTTGCAGACAAATGTATGAAGATGAGTTCTGCTCTCTCTGTCACTAAGGAATAGATTGTTTCTTATAGACTGGCAGCCCTTGCCTAAGAAAACGGATTCACAACATAGGAACAGAAGCCAGATGCAAAATGGTGAGAACAGGGCAGAAATCTGAGTTTCCCCAGTACTCTCAGGAAAGTGACAGCTTCCTGTGTTTTCAAATGCTTCACAAAACTTACAACTTACTTTACAAAAACCTTTTTTAAAAAACTTTCAAACACTTTCTAAAACTTAGTACATAAAGGTCAGCTATGATCATGACTATGATTCTAGCTGTTATCTCATTTTTCTCATTTTTTTGATAGGATTCAAATAGAAAGAGTCCTAGGGAAAGTCTTACTATTATTGCATATTTAGTGTTCTTCAGATTACTGTGGAGGTGGATAAAATGACTTCTTTGTTTAACTGAATAAGAGTGTTGGAAGATAAACTCATTTGTAAAAATCAGGGAAAGTATCTCTAGGAAAACTCCAGCAATAACAGGAGGCATTTATAAAGAGCTTAACAATTCACAAAGTATTTGACAAATATTATCTCATTTTATCCTCGCAATAACTCTGGGAAGTAGGTGTTATTTTTATCTCCATTTTACAGATGAGGAAACTGAGGCAAGCAGATAAGTGCCTTGCCCAGGGTCACACTGCTAGTATGTGTCTGAGGTCACATTTGAACTCAGGACTTCCTGACTCCAGTTTCAGCTCCCCATCCACTGTGCCACCTAGTGGATCAGGAGCACACAGCATGACAGGGATGACCTCTCTTGTTCCCATATGGTTTGGGTTTCTAGGCTAGGTCTCTGTGTTTGAAAGCTTTTCATTCCATGTAGTTTGGAAATTGTGAGCACTCTCAAGATCCAGTGACACTGATCTCCTCACTGCTCCTTACACAGGACACTTCATGTCTTTTTTTTTAAGCACAGAGACTTTTTATTCTCTCCCTTCCCTCCCCTCCACCCACTCAAGGAGAAGGCTAGAAAAATACAATTATTACAAATGTGAAAAATAACTTAAAAAGAAGAAATTGCCTCCTTAACAATGGGAAAGAAAGAAGGAAAGAAAGAGAGAGAGAGGAAGGAAAGAAAGAGAGAGAGAGAAAGGAAGGAATGAAGCTGAGAAACAATCTTCACAGCAAGTGTCTCTGATAAAGGCAACATTTCTCAAATATATAGAGAACTAAGTCAAATTTATAAGAATACAAGCCATTCCCAAATTGATAAAGAGTCAAAGGATATTAACAGGCAGTTTTCAGAGGAAGAAATCAAAGCTATCTATAGTCATATGAATAAGTGTTCTAAATCACTTTTGATTAGAGAAATGCAAATTAAGATGACTCTGAGGTACCACCTCACACCTATCAGATTGGCTAATATGACAAAAAAAAAAGGAAAATGATAAATGTTGGAGAAGATGTGGGAAAATTGGAACACAAATGCATTATTGGTGGAGTTGTGAAGTGATCCAACCATTTTGGAGAGCAATTTGGAACTATGCACAAAGCGTTATAAAACTCTGCACGCCCTTTGCTCCAGAAATATCAGTACTAGGTCTGCATCCCAAAGACATCATAAAAAAATGGAAAAGGACTCACATGTACAAAAATATTTACAGCAACTCTTTTTGTGGTGGCAAAAAATTGAAAATTGAGGGGATGTTTATCATTTGGAGAATGGCTACACAAGTTGTGGTATATGAATGGAATGGAATGTTATTGTGCTATAAGAAATGACGAACAAGCGGATTTCAGAATAACCTAGAAAGGTTTACATGAACTGATGATGAGTAAAGTGAATAGAACCAGGAGAACATTGTACACAGTAACAGCAACATTGTGTGATGATCAATTTTGATAGACTTAGTTCTTCTCAGCAATACAATGATCTAAGACAATTCCAAAAGACTCATGATGGAAAATTCTATCCACATCCAGAGACAGAACTATGGAGTCTGAATGCAAATTGAAGCATACTATTTTCTCCTTTTTTGTTGTTTTTTTTTTCTTTCTCATCCTTTTTCCCTTTTGTTCTGATTCTTCCTTCACAAAATGACTAATGTGGAAATATGTTTGATATGATTGGACATGTATAGACTATATCAGATTGCCCGCTGTCTTGGGGAAAAGGGAAGGGGAAAGAGAGAGAAAAATGTTTGGAACTCAAAATCTCACAAAAGTGAATGTTGAAAACTACCTTTACATGTAATTGTAAAAATTAAAATACTATTGAGTGGGAAAAAAAAGATAGTTCACTCTTAAACAGGTTAAGCAGACATCTAGAAATTATATTTACACTAATATTTAGCCAATCTTTCATTGAAGATGGTAGAAAGGTAAATTTCAGCCTAGTCTAGGTCAAATGATCATAAATTTTAATGTGATAGAGTTTGGATTATTGAGATTTTACTTCACTTGGTAGAAGATCATGTAAATATAAATCCACAAATGACCTAAAACAAACATTAAATTGTAATGTACATTTTTGCTGTTGCTCTACAACAGCCTTGCTCAGTTCTCCCCAGATACCTTATCTGAAGGACCCCTATAACTCCACAGAATGCATAGTAGATCTAATTAGTATGTATGTCTTGGATGGGGGTGGGGGGGTGGACTAAGGAAAGGGGAAAGACTGCTAGGGAGATGGCACTCTTGTCCCCTAAGCTGGCCATTGGTAATAGCTGAAAAGTAATTTCAAGTCTAATTTGTTCTAAAAACAACTGTCAGAGGTGACACCAGGTGATTAACAGCTCTAATTCTCCTTTGATCTCCATCAGCCATCACCTGGTTTCTTTGATGTATAATTTCACATTTCCAAATAGTTCACCATGCCTGTTTCTATGCCCAGCAGTATTCTAGCACAATGCCTTGTGCATAGTAGGCAATCAAATGACCAAGAAGATACCTGGTTGTTCAGTTAGTCCAAATCCCTCATTTTACAGAAAAGAAAACTGAGGCCCAAAGAATTAATTGGCTTTCCCATGGTCACACAGATAGTAGAGTCAAGATTTGAACCTAGTCTTCTGATTTTAAATCTAATGTTCTTGTCACTATACCACATGACTGAATTAATTTAACTATCATACATTGATTAAGTGAATTAGAGAAGTAGCATGATGGCATCAGATGTCACTTAATCTAACTCCTCCATTTTACAGATAAGGAACTGAGACAAAGGGAAGTCAAATGATTCAATCAAGGTCAATAGCAGGATTTAAACCTAAATACTCTCACTCCAGAGCCAGGGCTTTTTTCATGGTACTACACTGTCTTCCCATCAAGAGAACCAGGTTTAAGTTGTTTGACCCTGGGCAAGTCATTTACCTTCTCTGAACCTCAGTTTTCTCACCTGTAAAATGGTAACAATGATGATTATGATGATGACGATGACGATGATGATAACACCTGTACTAATCCCCCAAGAATCATCATGGCTTAGTGGATAAAAGGTCAGCCTTTAAAGATCTAGGTTCAAATCCTGTTTCTGACATATATTAATAGCATAACTCTGCTCAAGGTATTTAATTTCTCAGTGACCCCAGGCAATTTCCTAAGATTATAAGTTGCACATTTCTATCACTGGAAATTCCCT